CAGCAGCACAGAAAACACTACATGTACAATGAAATATATATGAATAACATCATAAATTTATCTCAATTTTATATCAAGCTAACGCATTGTTTTTTTCTATATTGTAAAATACTATATCTTATAAATGATTGTGTTAAAAATGTATATTATTTTAGTATATTATTGAAGAAATATTTTAAATTATTAGATTTATAAATATATATTAAATATTTGAACTCCGAATGTCTTGCAGTTGTGTAGAAAAAATTGTAATCCAATTTGGTTTCATGTAACGGAATAGATGTTTTCTCAATTTTACTTTAAAATATTCTGTTCTTTTTAATTATAAATATTTTGTTAATTTTAATTAAAAATATTCTGTTATATTTAATTATAAATATTCTGCTATTTGAAATTTAAAATGTTCTGTTATTTTTAATTAAAAATATTCTGTTATTTTTAATTACAAATATTCTGTTATTTTTAATTACAAATATTCTGTTATTTGTAATTATAAATATTAAATATTTATAATTAAAAATACAGGCTTACATCCCTATATCATTAGATGGTAGTTAATTCTAATTAACATTTATATACAGGCCTATAGCATACATAATGCAAATATTTTAGGATCTCAATTGAATGGTACAGTAAATGATTCAGAATTAAATAGCATTTTTTCGAAGATAACAGAATCGGCAGAGGGTATCAGTAAATCGGACATTCAACATTTTGACAATTAGGTCTGTACATTAACTTCCGTATCTGAGCACCCCATTAACTGCCTGTCAATTACATGTTTTGAAACCTGTCCATCTTGACCACTCACAAGCAAGCTCAGCATGATGTAATACATTGTTAGTATTCCCTAGAACAACAGTGACATAGGCCAACATAGTATTTCAGGCATCCAATCAAAAGGGCTGATCTTCAGCTCTAGGTGTGAAACACAACCAGTGATGTTTCCTGTTTCGTTGCTACATAAGCACCACTTTGGTTGTCATTTGGGTCATATGTAAGAACAAATTCTCTTATTGGCCTATAATGACGACTTCTATCAAACCAATAATGGTACCTCAACTTGCACCTCAGCCGATATACTCACATCCAGCCTTTGATAGATGTGCTTTACCTCCAGTGCGTACATCTTATCCACCTAACCAACTTCCTCTCTGTTTTGCGGCTCGACCATATATCGGCATGTACCAAACACTCAGTGGTAATCAGTTTATCTTTCCATCAATCACAAACGCTGGGACACAACCAATGCATGAGATGCTACCATTTGACAAGTATGTTGCAGCTAGGCATACGTTTCTGCATCAACAGGAGCCAAAACCGAATCACAGTTACATTGCCCTAATTGCAATGGCAATCATGAATTCACCAGATAAAAAACTTATACTCAGTGGTATTTATCAATATATTCTTGATAATTACCCGTATTTTCGAACAAGAGGCCCTGGATGGAGAAACAGCATTCGCCACAATTTATCCCTGAACGATTGTTTTGTCAAGATCTGCAGAAGCGCAAATGGAAAGGGTCATTTCTGGGCTATACATCCAGCAAACTTTCATGATTTTTCAAAAGGCGATTTTCGTCGTCGCCGTGCACAGAGGCAGGTCAGAAAACATATGGGTTTGATAACAGAAGACGAGGATGAAAGTCCTTGTTCATCCCCGGAACTTTCTAAACTATCAGTAGACGAGCAACTTGAGTTAAATCAAACAAGAACAACTGTTTCGTCCTCAGGATCTTCAGGAATACTTCCTAACCACGATTGCCATCCAAACATCGTTTCAAATAAAATTGATACCTGTAAGAACAATAACAGCAAAATTCGAAGAAAACGAATGTTTGACATCGAGAGTTTACTCGCTCCAAATGATGTTTACGTGCAACCTGACGAAGAGACTTCTTCCAAAAAGGTGAAATTATCGACTGATGAATTAAATGTTAATGGACATGTGAAATCAACTACAAATTATCAGCAACTTGCCATCAAAATAGAAGATTGCCAGAACCAAGATAACGTTAAAGTCAAGATTGAACTGAACTAACTCTACAGAAGAAGACTCCTTGTAAAAATTTCATATGTAAATATCATTCATCAATTTTTATTCGTTGAAAAATTTCTTTATTTAAATTACAGAGAGTTTATGGGTTTAATAGATTTTATTCAATCAAATAGAAAATGTAAACATTCAAACTGTTTCCTGTTGTTAAAAATTCAGATGTTATTGCAGAATTTTATTTGTTCTTTAATATTGTCTTTGATTTTTATTAATTAAATGTAATTGACGCTTATTTCGAACTAATTTTATGGCAATACTATAATTGTAGTTTCTGGGCTGTAAAAAGAGAAACATCCATATGAAAGCCACAAATTCAGATTTATTTTAGCACCAAATTCAATATATTATTTTAATTTCAATATAAAAAAATATATGTAAACCCGAAAAGTTTGTCAATAAAATATGGTAGAATGTTGGTAAAAGCAGAATTATCATTTGTCTAATGTTTTATTGTCTGATTATTTGTTAACATTACGGTACTCAATTATGTTGGTCTACAATCAAGATGCGCCGATACTCCTTATATACTACCACATACAACGAAATCGTAGTAGGCCTAGGCCTAACTCAAAAAGTCTTTTCATTTCAACATAATGTTTCGTAGCATGACAGTTATGAAAGTGTGAGAAAGGATAAGTAATATGTCTAGTTGAGTTTTCTTGCTGATGATCAAAAAATTCGAAAAGAATCTCCAACGACACAATACCTAGCAATATAAAACCATTCTTTCATATATTTATTCACTTAAAAATGACACAAGTTACCACAAAATGTTGTTTACATACACACACCAAATTCGTGGATGGAGATAAAAAAAACCAAAGTTTAAAAAAACAAACTTTTATACAGTTGGAATTAAAATAAAATAAAATGACACGATAATGGTAAGATAATTATAATAATAATGATATGACAATGGTAATGAAAGTTATAATAAAATTTCGAAAGCCAACGTGTTATCGGAATCAATGATGTCAAATAACCCGATCCATTTCCCTTCCTCAGGTGGTCTCTACAGTATCATAGTTTTTAACATTTTATTTTAGTTACTACTACTAGGCCTTATTACAACCATTACTACTTACTTCAGACATAGTAGGCCTAAAGACTTAAACCTGGACGACATAGAATGACTCTTACGAAACACTGCAATTTGATTCAAACTATCTTGTTTTAAGATTAATACATGCAGTTTGTAGAAATCCGATTAAATAAATGTCTATAAAAACAAATAATACATCAGCATGGTTCAATCATGTATAAAATAATTCAATGAATTGTTGTTTGTTTTTGAATAGACGAGCAGTCAACATGAGGTAGTCTAATGCTTTAAAAGAGGGTATTGATTTTGGAAAAATTAATTGTGTATCCTGTTGATTTTGGTCAATAACAAGATGCTCCCAAACGAATTGCAGTTTTCTGACGTTAGGCCAAGCTTAGCTGTGATATCCTAATAGGCCTACATGATACCATTAAATTACGTTTGCTGCGAAGCACCGTAAATGCAGTTGATTAATTCATCCATTTCAATCAGATATGGAAATAATATAACGTAAATAACACAAATTAAAGTATATCCATTTCTAAACAAACTAGAGAGCAACGGCGGCGAAAGAGGAGGGGCCGAAGTTACAACAACGTGAATTGCCCTATTGTTTCACAGTATAATCGAGTAACAAAAAAAATCATACAAACTTTGTTTGGAAACGTTTTTCTACACTCATGTAGGAATCCACTTAACTTATTGAGTGGCACCTTGGTCGTGATCACCAGTATTGAGTAGGACCACTTTAGTTATTGTCATGCGGGATAAGCCTGGATTTAACTAAAACACATCCGACTTTCCTACAAGTGGTCAGATAGTTGATTGGAACAATCACCATTCATCAATGGGCTAGACATTACAGTACTGTACTGTATCTCCTGTCTCTTATACACATCTTATATATATATATATATATCAAAATATTAATCCCAGTAACCCACTCATGAAATTACTCACAAACGTCACTTAGTTCTGTTTGTGTATTGTGCTTGTTTTAAAGGTGCCGTTAAAAACAAGGCATCTGCTTTTATACGCACCCATTCTTGTAAATAGGCCCTATTATAAATTGTTTTTTGTCAATGATCGTTTGTTGTTATTGAATGATGAATTGTTGATTGAATGGATTCAGATGCAGTATTGGACAGCTATACAGTTCGGTGAAAAATAAAGATAGTAGAAACCTAAAATATAAACCAAGTTGCGTTTTATGATATATTCAACTTCGTATGTACAATAATGTTTTCAACTTTTTAAATATTTTATTCGTTTTCCCAATTTTACATTTTCTTAAATTTTAATTAATATTGTTGCCTATCAAAGTCACAAATAACCTTTTACTATTAATATGTCTTTTTGTATTTTCTGAATAAATAAATTAATTGTAAGCCGATTTCACAGATAAATGGACAAGTACAAATTACTCATGAATAAATACACTATGCAGGCATAGTGTTATGTGCCGGCTTACCATGGTTGTTGTCTAATCGTCTCCCTGTCTTGCTTTTTCATTAGGTGATTTGCTGTGTGAAATTCCTAAAATCATAAAAAGAACACCACTCACCCGAATGATTTTATCTGGGTATCTGCTTCGTTGATTAGTGGTGCATTATTGCTTGTTATTATTACTGTATATTATTATTATTATTATTAATATTATTATTATTATTATTATTATTATTATTATTATTATTATGCCACAATTTTGTATTATTATTATAACATATAGGCCCATCCATCAATTAAAAGTGATTTTTAAAATAGATTAATTTATGAGAGGCCCTATTATCTAAGAAAGTATAATACATACTCCGAGTATCGAAATGCACGCCACCGTGTCGGGATTCAATATTTCGACATTAATTACGTCATTACCAGTAATCTAACATAATAATAATAACCGTACTTGTCTGATAAAATAATCTGTAAATTCGAAAGTGAAAATTGTACATAACAGGCCTTGTACTTGTTGCTCACATTCACCATAAATAACACGTGTTTATAGATTGTGTGCATTTGAATACTACAAAAATAGGCCTAGAATAATAAAACACACAGAGAACAACGTAATCAGATCTCAATTGAACATCAGCACTTCAATGTTTAATAACAAGTTCATCAACAACTAAATGACATTGTCAATCAAAAGCAACAAGTGTCAACTTGTATGAGTAATTGTAAAGGAGGGGCCGAAGTTACAACAACGTGAATTGCCCTATTGTTTCACAGTATAATCGAGTAACAAAAAAAATCATACAAACTTTGTTTGGAAACGTTTTTCTACACTCATGTAGGAATCCACTTAACTTATTGAGTGGCACCTTGGTCGTGATCACCAGTATTGAGTAGGACCACTTTAGTTATTGTCATGCGGGATAAGCCTGGATTTAACTAAAACACATCCGACTTTCCTACAAGTGGTCAGATAGTTGATTGGAACAATCACCATTCATCAATGGGCTAGACATTACAGTACTGTACTGTATCTCTGCAGGAAAAAAAAACCTTACATTAGATAAACCGTTCACGTTTTGGTCACAAATTGACATTATACATCGTCTATCGGTGCTTTGATGAACATATCTGGTCCCTAGATTACATTTTGAGAAAGGCACAAATTTTCATGTAACTTTGGCCTATATAAATAAATTATATTGAAATATGTTTTTTTCATGCATGCTTCATAATATGTATCTGGTGTTGATTGGTTTTGCTGCAGAAACAGGCCGCAGGCACAAGGAAAAACCACACGATATTTTTTTTAACTATCAGAATATGGTGCGCAGCCAAAGCGAGCGTACGTATGGTAACCGCTCGCGACGCGTAAGGTACTTGCGGTACGCGATCGAATAACGCAGCGCATTTTAAGACATAAGAACACAATAACTGTTCAAACATTTTCACTATAACTGACGTTGTAAACGTAACCCTAAAATAAATTTGCAGAGATGAAACTAACAACATTAACGATATCTTTAATTGTATGTTGTGTCTTACTCGATGGTATCTATGGTAATGGTTACAACCTCCACCGGTAAGTTGTTCATTTTACTTAATATAAAGAAAAAAAAAAATAAAAAATACATGAATCTCAGCACACCGACCATTACTAGGCCCCTAGGCCTAGGCTAGGCCTACCTAGTAAGTAGAAAGTAGAATGCGTGTTTATTTTACACTTACGCATTTACATCGTGAGAATTATCGACCCCACTTCCACTACCATTCAATTGGACAAAAATATCCGTATTTAATCGTAAACCACACTGAAAGAGCGGTTTCTATAACTAGGCATGGGGCCTAGGCCCTAGGCCTATCCGTTGCTAGGAGTAGCCTAGCTAGGCTACCTAGGCCTAGTAGGTGGGCCTATTTAGGTTTTAACCCTAATCTTGGTGGAAATTAATGCTAAAGATAATTAAAATTAAAGATAATAAATAGCAGAAGATAGATCAGTTCGCGATATAGTGGAACGCCCCATGAGGGCGTCCATGACAGCAATTTTCCTCCAGCCGAGTGGCTGCGCTATAATAAAAATAATAATTTTTTTGAACTTACACTTTTGTATCAGTGGCACATATCTTTGATTGGTTGGATAACTCTTTGATTCGTTTGTTTTCATTATTTTCTCCACTCCATGAAAACATTTTCCTCCATTCTAGAGAGACGGACGTTCCATCAAATTTAATGCAAACTACGCGAAGAGCTCATTCTTCTGCTATTTATGTTCTTTGATGTTATGTAATGAATCTGAGGTTTAAATTACTATTTTCATCATTTATTATATCATTACTTAATTGGGCCTAGGCTTAGGTCCATAATATCATATATTGATTGGGCAATATAATGTTAATACAATAGCAGTATATCTTTGTTGTGTATAGGTAGGCCTATGTCAGAAAATGACGTTAACACAAAGTTTTAGAAACGTTGACACCGTTATTTATTGTGAAATTACGTTATGATTTATGGTGCTACAAAAACGCTTTAGACAGTAAACTGTAACCTTTTTATAACATTTACAGTACTGTACGTAAAATGGTTACGGTAGCTGTGTAAACTACAACTTAGCAAGTTAACTAACTTAGTCTTTGTTTGTAACGTTAGTCTTTGTTGCTTAAATTGAACATTTCCATAACTGAAAGTCATAAGCCTAAGCCTATCTATATTTACAGCCAAAAGAATGAAAACCTTCGAACGCCAAACTTAGTACGCAGTCATGACGTTGACACCAATGGTGAAGATCCATGGTGGGACGATGAAAATGAGTATCTATCAGGGGACGACGTTATCCGAAGACTTCCCGATGTCATGGACGACGATCCGCGATCCAGAACCGAGCGCGTTGATTACAAAGATATAAAAACATCAGACAAAAATTATAATGGTGACTGGGATGATAACAATTACGAGAACTTAGGGGACAATGGTAACAGGGACATCCAAGAGAAAAGTAACTTTGATGATGATGGTGACTGGGATGATGAACAAGTGAAGTACGAGAGTTTCAAAAGTGATGGTAACCGATACGAAGATGAGAAAGAGAACTACTTGGATGTCCAACAGGAGGACGATGATCGCTGGAACGAACAGGAGCTCGCGCGCAATAACTATGAGGACAACGACAACTACAATGATTACTGGGCCCAACAAGAATACAATAGCCTTGATGACGATGGTTGGGATCAGGAACAAAATTACGATACCAAAGAAGGAAACCTTGAATACAGAAACGTTGATGACGTGGACTACGGTGACTGGGGCGTTTTTGACATGGACTACGGTGACAGACCTACAGGTGTTAGTAACGATAACAATTTTGATGAAGGCCGATATAAACGGCAGTTATCTGCAGTGAATTCTGAGAAAGAAGGAAGTGATAAATATGACTTTGAATTTGTGGAAGGAGAAGAATCATCAATGGATGACAGTGGGTGCAGAGGAACTGAATGCATCGACGAGAGAGAAGACGGCGGTTCAGACTCAAGTTCAGATTATTTCATTACATAAGTGGCATGCGTTTAGCGTTAATTTTTCTGCGTTAATTTTATATTTTATATTATACTTTCATGATGAAGTAGGCTATCGAAGAAATCTAAACAGTATCCATAATTTGTTACCAATTTCCAATCTTGTATTGTTTTGTGCTTTCCTCATATATCAATATCAATAGTGGGAGAGGTGCAACCCTTGGGCGCATAGCTCACCTTGGCCTGTTATGTGCCGCCCATTACTAAACGAATACAAACACGATTGATTGTAAATACGATTAAATTTTATCTCTTTGTGAAATAGATAAATAAAAATACGAATAAACCTTATCTCTTCTATAAATACAAAAATATATATCAGTTGTGTTGAGTTAATACACCGGTGGGTTCTGGCCAATATGAGTCTCAAAATGTAATGATTATAGGCCTATTGTCATATAATTAATATTTATAATAAAAATTACATGTCTCCCTAAAGACCCGTCAATTAAAGACCACTTCCACTTAAAGACCACTTTTCTGTGGTGCCAAATTCACAAATGTCTTTTATCATTATTATTATTGTTATTATTATTATTATTAGAGACCAAAGATGCAAAAACCATAAAAACCCCAGTCCAAAGTGGTCTTTCATTGGAGGGAAATCTGAATATAATAGAGTAGTGGGCCTAGTAAATATAATAATAATAAAAATAATAATGATAACAATAACAATATTAATAATAATAATATTAATAATAATAATAATAATAATAATAATAATAATAATAATAATAATAATAATAATAATAATAATAATAATAATAATAATAATAACTAGAGTGAACTATACTTTTACACCACTTCAATGTGTTTTTCCCGACTTTCGTGATCTTTATCTTTTTCTACCGAGTAGGCCTATGTGTGGATTGGGAAAATATACATACAACAAATTTCAGAATTTTATTTTAGATATACATCTCTCTGGTTTAGATACTTTACAAATAAACCATACGTAAGTTTAATGGGAACAGTAGGCCTAGGCCTATTTTCTGAAAAAGTGCACAATATAGACCTCAATCATATCATCACGAAAATACAAGGATATAGGCCTAGGCCTACCAGACCGGCTAGGTCAGATACACTGACTTAAAAAATGTAATTACATAATATTGTTCAGGCGGCGCAAGGGTTAACATAGATGAATTGCTGTATGCCTATACTTTAATTTCATCACACGGTTCTATGGGCAGGTGGTCGACAATAATGGACCAAGTAATAATTATCACAAAGAAATTACAGCTTCTTTCTACATGTTTGGGCATTGTGTGTTCTATTATAAGACAGGACTTACAAGGTTTAGGCAAAATGATGTGTTATCGGATCTAATTAATTATTTAATAGCCTATTATAATAGTAGGCCTATGTGTAAACATGGTGTAAATATTGCACGCCGTAGGCCCTATTTGAATTTTCCTCGGCCAAGGATTGGACAGAAAACACAAAGTAATTTTTTTTTTGGAACTTCGTCGAATTAATGAAAAAATCGCTACAATGATGTATCAATCTCGTTGAGTGCACTCTGATCATTAATTGTAACTAATCTGGAGCGTCGTCTGTCGTCCTTCCCCACGCCCGGGTTCATATTTGACATGCAAACATCGCCAATAAATGTAGCTTTCTTCACAGAAGCTTTAGGCATCAATTCAACAACTAGACCTTTCATTTGACTTTTTACACTGATGTACTCATTATCAATATCTTTGACACTCAAATTATCCGGAGTTAGATCAAGAGATGATTCATATCTCTTATAAATGTTATTATTTTCAAGTTCATTACCATCAGGCCCCTCAAGTTGGTCGAATAACACTTTTTTACGTAGGTGATGTGACCGCCACAAGTTGATGATAACCAGGCTGAATATAACGCCCCAAAACGACAATCCGCACGCTAGTACTATGGTGATAACTTTAGGGTCCAGGATGAGCAATGCTTTCGATGGTTTAGAACTTAATATTTCTGTATTTATTGATGTTTCCATCGGTAACCTGGTACGAGCTAAATAGAAAAATAATGCCAAAAATCAATAAATTTAGAGGTATAGGCCTATGTATCATACTATTAATAGCAATATTAATGATGACAATAATTGCCGGTAGAGGCCTAAAAATACATATCTCCCTCTAATTATAGATCCCTCCAATGAAAGACCACTTTATACTGTACTGTGGTCCCGAATTAAGCAAGTCTTACCTGTTGAACCATGGCATGAATTCTTGACAATCGTGACGTCATCAATAGCGATATCAGACTTCGAACTGACTTGTATTGCTTCGAATACAATCTAATAAAACATAAAAACATATATCTCAAATTACATTAACTAATAGATCCCTATCAATTAATGTCACTGTTTCGCGTAGGGCAGATGCCATCCGGTGGTAGTTTATGTACTGTATTACAAGCAATCATACGACGACTGGATGAGGACGGAATTTGCATTTTTAGAAGGAAGAAAGCCCGGAAGAGAGTAATAAATAATGTAGGCCTATTATACAAATATCATGATAAATTTCATACTCCATAGTTTCTTATTGTTACGCAAGCGCACAAAGCGTAATTGTTGAACAAACCAACCCGGAATTCTTGCTCTGACCCTGTGGCATCAAATCTCACTTCACTCCAATTATTGCTAAGGTTAGGCTTATCGAGCAAATGCACCAACCGGCTATAGTTTGTTGTCAAGTTTGAATCTACGTCCAATTTGTGAACATTTAATCTGAATAAAAATAGAAACATAAAAACCACTATAATAATTATTGCGTGATGTTGTTACAATTTATATGAATATTTAATTAATATTGCATTTTTAATCACTTTAACATCGTTTATATCCGAATCATTGTAAATACATGACTGTTCAGGCAAGGGCGTTGATCTAAAAAGACGGAAAACAGTATTGTTCAATCTTCAATTTCCATGCTGTTGATGTACCAATTTTTTTTAGGTCAAACTGTGAGGTTTTTCTTTTTGAATTCCCCCAAAGTGTACATTTTTCTACAAAGGCCTACAAAATAATTAAAATACAAACTAAAAAAAATCACATAACATGAGTTTGACAATACTTACGATCCGAATCCTTTCTCACTGCTGTCACCGTACATGTAATACCAAAATGAGACGCATATCGCGGGTGAGGGCATTATAATCGGTGTTTCCATTCGAGCGGCGTTGTCTTCGCTATAAGAAGAGGCATCTGTAGTCATGTAAAACCCTGCAAAAGTATTATTTATAACCAGTGTTTAAGTGATTTAACAAATTCAATATATGGTATCATAATCTGCATATATATATATACACATAGGCAGCAGAAGGTCCCGGATTCGAATCCCAGTTGAGCACCTATTTTTTCACGCTCGCAAATTCCTCTTTAACGTTCAAAATGTATTTATATATATTAAAAGCATTAACACAAGACGGTTTAAACTTTATCTATGATATATATA